TTCTAAATCCTTCCCTGCTCTCTGGGTGAAAGCACACTGAAGTTATTGTCCTGTTTTGAAAGGTAGCCACATACCCAGCCTTGGCCCATGCAAATGGAGTAGAGGACTGCCCACACCACAGACAGTAGAGTCTCTGGAGTAGGACTATACATCCACTCTGTGCATTTAGCTGTCCCCATGCCTGCTCCCAAAAGAGGAAACAAACAACTGGGAGAGGACAGAATTATGCCCCAGCAATTCTGTGAAACAAAACAAACCTGCTGGATGGAGACCAGAGGCTCATCCTGCTTGCTGCTGACCGGGTAAGCCATTGCTAAGTTCTGCAGTGCTACGTCAGCATGGAGCCAGTAGCTCATCGTATTTACCAATGCAAACAAAGCACTCAATGGATAATACATCAGGTTGACACACATCCCAGATGACACAACCTGCTTATGGCTGTGTCCTTTACTAACACTTTTGCTGTGGGGCTTTGAAGTTTTTATGAGAATTATGCAGCAGTGAACTCACCCTTAAAGCAACAGGTAAGTAAGTATGTGCAGGAGACATGATCCTCTTCTGCTCTAAGTTACTCCCTATTTATACCAAACAAATGTGAGCAAAATCAGCTCAGTAAAGTCTAAATGAACTTCTATGCTAGAAGATAAGCCATATTGCATAATTCAATTTTTTGCTTCATTTGCAGAACAAAATTCTGAACATATATTTATTTTAAAATAGGATTAAAAGTCGTGTCTTATATTACGTACTAACGTGTTTTGAGTGCAGTCTCCTTGTAGGACACCCCTTGTTACTGGAGGCAGATGCTTCCCTTGCTGGGAGAGAAGAAGTTAATGCACAAGTCTCCCTTATCTGCCAGAAGCAAATTATAGCAAGTCCAGAACTAGAAACTACTCTTCATAGCCCTTGTGATCTAAAATTAGTGCCTGGTGTTAGTATGCAGAATGGATCAAGTACTCAGCCACTGAGGACAAGGTGCCAATTGGTGAGAAATTCTTACTATGCTTTTTGCACGTTCACACTTTAGCACCTTAAGAATTAAATCGATTTGACATGTAAGGCCTCTATTACAGATCTCTCTAAACACAGTTTTCTTTTAGGAAGGTTTACTACCACTGAAAGGCAGCAAAAGAGCATTTCAGGTGCTTGTTTCTCCCTAGACAACTCAGACTAGCCTCGTGTTTTTCCATGAGCCTCCCCAGCCAATGCTCTGACCCAAGCTTGGAGCTGCTGCTGCCCTGGGCACCAGCTGGGCTGTTCCCCTCCCTCCCCTCCCCCCAAGGGAGCTCAAACAGCTCCAGTGTCCCCACGAGGAAAGAAGTGCCAAAAGGAGCTGGAAAAAGAAAAGAAAATGAGGAAAAGTAACTTAGATCCAAGGTGTAAAGTTTGGACCAATCAATTTAACCATGGAAATCAGTAATTTTTTTAAGGAATACCAGGCAGTGCTAACCATCCCAAGTCATACTCAGCAGTTGTGTATCTATTTTCTCTTCTGGCCAATAATTCTGAGGTCATCTTGTAAAGCAGCTGATGAACATAAACTCATTCCAGCACAACCTCATGTCACTTATGCTAATTTAAGTTATTTGGAAGTGCAATGTTACTTTGATAGGAGAAACCTTCTATAGTCATACCATGTTGCTCTGTCTTAAGGACAAGGATGCCAATTCATAAGACAGGGAAGAAAGACCAAAAAGGGAACACATAGTGGATTAGAGATTTTGATTCTGTTCCAAACCCTAAGCTTAAAAACTTTGGCAACTTCTCCCCCATATAATTTGAAATGCTAATTTATAATTCCATGGAGAAAAAAAAATATTGCAATGATCTGAACAATACACATGCAGGATTAGTGCTCTGAGACTGAAAAGTTTCAGACTTTTCCTGCAGAGGCAAAAGCAGGTAACCACAACTGCAGGAGAGGTGTTTATCCCAGGCTTCATGAAGAACTCAGTCCAGCTGAAAAAGAAGTCCTTCCCAGAACCCTCTGCAAAACCACAGGCTTTGCAGAGAAGTCCGGGGAGGCAAAGCAGGGTGAGAGAGTGTAGTGGGAGCATCAGGCTGCATACAACTAAGTCCCTGAAAGCTGATGCATCTTCTATAATATACAGTTGTGAAGGTCTCAAAAAAACCCTTATGCTCAGAACTTTCTGTCCAGGGAATAACTTTGAGAATCACACAGAAACTTTAAAGACACTCCTTGTCCTTCAGATCTTACGAAAGACAAAGTGTTATGTTAGTATTTCATGTTATGCACAAACACCCATTACCCTGCCTCAAAGTACAGAGAAAGGTGGAAGAGGCCCACAGGGAGGGAAAGGACAGCTCCTTGAGGAAGAATGGACCCATACACACTTCTGGATCTGCCTGCAAGGAGGCAAGCAGCCTCCCCATGAGTTCCAAATAGCTCCCAGTCCAACAGTTCCCTTTCTAGAACATGGGATCTGATCCTTGCTCCACAGCTATTGCACCTCATTGTAACTGAGATTAGAGACTCAAGCTTTTAATTGAATTCCTTTGAATTTGGGTGGGTGTAGTGAAGTGTCAAATCCCTGTTCTCAGTCAAGCCCACTTCTGTTAGCCTTGAAAAGAACCATAAACCAAATGAGACTCCCTTTTTATGTATTAGCATTTTTAGATGATCCCTTAAATACATTTATAAAGATCACATCTGTAAACAACAGGCAATATAAAATACCTATCTCCTGTAACAGACTACATAAGTGACTAATAGTTGTCAAAGACAAAACAAAAATATCATTTAAAAAGAAAGCTCTCATTCACCTGTGTGCTGTAAAGTTTGAGGTAACTAAATCTCCTTTATTGTGCCATAAAATAATAAATTTATCCTTATTGGAGGAGAAAGGATTATTATGATAGTTGTTGGATTATATATGTAAATAGGTAGAGTCCAAAGATGTTTTAATCTCCTTCCTTTATATCAAAGGGCAACAGTTGTGCCTTGGGTGTACATCATGCCCATGAACACCCTCAGGGCTGCCCTGTTTTGGCAGAAACCTTCTGACAGGCCAGGGAGGAGTGTTTTGGTGTTGGGGCTAGCAAGGATTTGGACTATAAGAAGGTATAAGAGGTGGGGGCTCTACCTCACAGGGCAATGCATAGGTACATCCTGGATAGAGACAGGGAGATGTCACCGGAGAGACGGGGGGACAACTACCCTGTTGCCATCTTTGCACTGGTGTCTGAAGTACTTACCAGAACACAGCTCCTGCCTCATCTTTAGACATTACCATCTCTGAAATAAACAAAGATGTCAGACTCTCCACATGTTTCTCCATACATCCTCCAAGCAGCCCAGAGCCCCACACAGTCTCAAGTGCTGGTTGGCAAGATTTTGCACATCTCCTTTCAGAGCATTTCTCCCAATTTTAGTTTGGGTTGTTTTTTTTTTCAAATGCTCTCATTGACAGTTTCAATATCAGAAAATAGATCACGTTCCCACTTCAACAACTGCAGGGAGACATTTTAGATGTGTACAACAGATTTACAGTGGGAAGGCAGAATACAAAAGCTCAATAAAACCAGGGAATGAAACAAAGGCAACAACAAAATCCTGCTGTTACAGATTACAGAGCAACTCACCAAAAACTTGAGTCAGCCACTGCAGCACAATTCATATGGAGGAGAGATAGTGTCCATCTTGAAGTACTACATTTTCAAAAAGTAAAGCCATGCTGAATACTCCCAGCTCTGGCTACACTACCTGTCCTTCTTCCAGGGATGACATAATCCATAACACATACTGAAAATAAGATGTTGACACCTCCACATAAAACTAACATTTCCCTGCAGAGCCATGTACAATTTAAATGTTATATTTTCTCACTCCTCAAGTATAGTGTTCCATACCTGATGAAGATCTACTGCAAAGCATTAAGCAGAGTCAAACAAGTATTTCTACAGAAAGTACTCATATGCACCACTTCACAGTCCACAAGGAAAGAACCTTGGTACGATGAGAAGCAGCTTTAAGAAAAAATACTGTATGAGGTGGCTATGTATTTTTAGACATATTCCAAAGAGCCCTGTGCTGTCTTGCTGCACTGATGTACTAAACCTTGCCTGATAAGAAAGCAGTTGTAGGATTTCTACAATTATAATGCAAATGCTAACAGGGAACAACACCTAGGTGCTCCCAAGGGCCCCTGGATGTGCAGGCAGGAGAGTGCAACTTGTACAGAAAATTTCTTTTTGAACTGCAGCAGAGCTCAAGTTTTTAAATCCTCCAGACCACAGTGAAACTTACAGACAGAAAACAGTTTGTAAGAATTTCTGAAGTGACAATCTTGCATCTTGATAAGCCATGACAAATAAATAAAACCAGACCAGTGTGCGTGGGAGGCAGGGAAGGAAGACGCGTTTCCACTGAAGTGAACAGGCTTCGCACAGTCACCAGCAGTCACTTCTGCCCGCACCTCCATTGCCAGGCCCTCTTTCGCCTGTGTCAGATCTACTTTCTCTTTTCCATGATAAAGCCACAGTTGTTTTGTAGCTAAAGCTCCCAGTCCTGCCAGCCTTCAACATAAAGCCCACAAATCCTAACACACCTACACAGCAGAGCCTCCTGCTCCCCTATGAGTCATTAAGCAGGCTGTCCTGCTTGCTGATGTCATCCAGCAACATCTATTTTTTTAAACAAATCCTAAAACGCCTCGAGCATCAATTATTTAAAATATTATCTTCATTTTAATCCTGACCCTAGTGGCAAAATTACCACTACGAAGCATTTCCAAGTGATGCAAGAGGGCCCAATAGCCTCTAATAGTGGCTACGTCAATGAGGAGTAAGCAGCAGGCTACTCATGTCACACATGAGCTAAGCAGAGCATCCAAGCCAGCAGCAGCAGGAAGATTTCTCTTTTACAAACAGGCAGAGAGTAGCTAGGATGTGTCATTGAAAACATAATCAAAGATCAACTGCATCATCCCATCTCATCTTGTACATTTTGCATGACTGCATGTTACACAACCCCTACTCACGCCATCTCGAACCTGTGCGGGCTGATGTGCGGCTCTGGTGCAGCAGTAACCTTCCCTGATAATAATGGTCTATTCCCTGCCTAATTGCTCTTGCCATTAAAAGTGCTTCTTTAATGCTCAAGCTTAAACGCTTCCTGTCTTCATTTGAAAGCAGTGCCCTTGTCACATTCCAAGATTTAATAACAGGATCATCAGCTATTTACAGAGTACAGCTGAATTATCAGAGAAACAGAATTGAAATACATTCCCCTAAGCACACTTACATCCTAAAAAGCCACATTCAAAACACAGTATAAACAAGTCACATGCTGCATTTCCAGTGCACAAATGCAATAGACAGCATTCAAGGTGAAAGCAGGCAGAGATTTGGCCGTGAAGCAACCTTCAGGGCTGAGGACTTTCCCACTCTGCACACGCCCAAAGTCAACAGGAAAACCAACAGCTGAAACAAAATCCTTATGCGCCCTTAAATATATGTTAATGGGTGAGGCTGTTTATTGTAGGCACTGCATTCATAAAGCCAAATGAATGAATAAAATTAATAAACAGTACTGCAGAAAGTCTGGGTGCAAAACCAGGCAGATGCCCTTGCTCTTCGGTTCCCAGGAAACTCAGTGCTTCTCTCTGCCCATTTCAGCTATGCAGGGAATATGCTTGAACACAATTTAAAGAAACTGAACATTAAATAATTCTTTTTAACATTTCAAATGTTGCTTTTATTAGGAAACCTACTCACCCTCTTCCTTTCAAATCTAAGGAAGGGCTTGAGAGACATCCCAGCTTTGGGAAAGATACTTATCAATTTTTTTCTCAAGCAATAATCAAATTAACAGTGGTAATTAACTTTGTTAGTAGCTGAAAGTGACTACGATTACCTTCTTAGCATTAAGTTTTCTTTCAGTTCACTCTTTCAACACCATTGCCTATGTGAGCAAATGCTGGTTGTGATACTAGCAGATTTTTCCCTACCATAATTTATTGAATTTATCTCTAGTAGACCCTGCAACCCACTTTGCTTTTCATGCCAATCATTCGTTCATCGTTTCTTCTGCTACTTTCATTAGCTTGTTTTGTAACTTCTCTCAATCTCTATGTTTTCCTTGGACTTTACTCATACAGGACATTTTTGCCCAGATTCAGTTATGTGCAGCTGCAATGTTACAAATTCCTCACATTATGTGATAGATGACAAGGGCTCTCACTTGATGGCAGACTTGGGTGAAACACTCCATCACAGGTTTGCTCACTCACCTGAATGCAACCATACCAAAATCCTAAGCATGCACAAACCCTTAAAACCATCCAGCTATTTTATTTTTTTGTTATTTCTTCCTCCCAAGGTCCCTGCCACTCTAACCTTATTAAATGGCATTAAATATAAGAAAGGAACTACACACAACAGGTTTTATACATACTGTTGAAGTCAACTGAGTTTTCTCATTCATTTCAGTGAATTTAACACACTGTTCCAGAACTTAAAAGCTCTCTGGACCCGACTTTTTCACTGACTCTTGTACAGACACCTCTACCTGCACACAGAGACACTGAACTCTTCAAGTCAGAACAAGAGCCATTTATACCCACACCGCAAAATGGCAACAGCTACTTGAAGAACCAAGGCTGTGGAGAATCAAGTCTCCCCAGCCAGCTGCTTCAGAAATAATGAGATTAACAACATCCATCAAATCTCAGTCCCTTTCTTTGAAAACCTGTTGGATGATGCCGCATACATTTCCCCAGGCTATATGCTAGGAGCTGAACGAAAGCTGCTGAACTTAAAATATCAAAAAAGAGTCACAGAGCTCAAAGTACCACCCCAGCTGCATTTGGGCAAACACTTGTCCCAGCCCCACTCTGAGGACATCTTTGCAATGGAAGCTGGGTGCCACTATCTGTCCGCTTCTCCTGGGATCCCAGGATGCCCCCTTCCTTCATGGACAGATGGCTCAAACTCTGGAGGGAGCTGGCATGAGACTCCCATGGATTTCAGTGGGAGCTGGATGATGGCCAAGGTGAATTTTCTCTACAACACACTATTCCCTGCAATGGAGCTTCTTAGGCAAAGCTTATCACCATGGCATCTGAAGTACTGCCGATTACCAGAACAGCCAGCTTGAACACTGTCCAAAATTAATGTCTTCCTATAACACTACCTTCATCACATTTCCTGCTTCCTTCATCACCTTCTTTCTTCATCCTCCCACTTCTCTGCCTTTAACTCCCCAAAGAAAGCTGTATGTTGGCTGATGGACATTACTATTGCTAACAGCAGAAGGGAAGAGTGCAAGGCAGACTTTCCTGATGCTCTTAAATGCCACTGTATAATAAAAACATTACATATGAAATACAGGCCCCCAACCACACCTTTTCATGAAAATGTTACAGAAGAGGTTGAGTCTCGTTCATGAATCCAGTCTCCTTAAGATGAGGTTATTTCATTGCTTGATCCAAGCTTGGAAACTCACTTTTTCCCACCTTCCTAAGATGCAGGCTCAATACCCACCTGAGGGAAGCAGAGGTGGATCCTGCAAGGCAGGGCAAATTTACCACATGAGCCCCTGCACGAGCAGCACAGAGAAGCCATCTCCTATCAGCCAAAAGAAACATGTGCTATGGGCTAGTTCATCGTTAACCCGTGGAGCACACATTTTACATTGGTATAAAGCTTTCTGCAATGATTTCTTACACTCAGAGGCCTGATTTTCATTTTGATATCACTTATAAAACAGATTTAAAAATCAATTTTATTGCTAGAGGGTATTTAAATTAGCTGCATTTTAATCCAACAGATAATATAAGTAACAGCTTCAGCAGCAGTGATTTACAGGTCTGATCCAAACTGGTTACTTGTTACATGCCTCACAACAAGCAATATTTTGTAATAGGCAGATAAGGAAATACAAAGACACTAAAGAAATTAAAATAGTAAAAGAATGAAAGCACCAATGGAAGCAGCTATCCAGTATCTCCTTATATCATCTAATAACTAAACCTGAAGCATCTTTATTACTAGAAAATTAGCTTAGACTGCTTAAATTGAGGTCAAATTGAATCAGACCACAGCTATTAGATGAGAAGGTATAGCTCACTGAAATCAGAGCCATAGACAAGTGAGCCACATTCTTGTGTACGTTAAGCTCTTGGCTTGCAACATCCAGAGACAAATCAGGTGGTACTTTCAGACAAAAATTTCTGGAGCTGGAAAGGCACTATGTTGTGGTTTTTAAATAGCAGAAGTTGTAAGCTCCAAGACTATCAAGGTATCAACAACTATCAGATATGGTGGGTAGAAAAAAGTGGTGATTTAAGAAAGTATTTGTTCCCTTTAAAGTAAAAATTTGTCCAGTGAGATCCTTAACAGTGGCTTGATCCAAAGACAATGGTTTTCAGCCAGCAGGAACATCCACATTAACTTCAACAGGCCTCACAGTGGATTTTTTTTTTTTCCCTGGACTTCTTAATTTACAGCATTGTTTTTACACCCCCTGAATTACAGGCATTAATTTTTTTAAAAAAACATGTACATTACTTTTGTAAAACTTGACACTACTTTGCTGCCTACTAAGTTGAACTAAAACAACAGTTTAAATAGCTCAGCTCACAGCTAATAAGCAATTTAAATAGCTTTGCGGAGCTCAAGTAGCTATATCAGGTTTCATAGCACCATCAGTCACTGTCAAATCCATAGGCAGCATGTAAATGAACCATTAGCAATGGCCACCCCAGGAAAAAAAATTCAAGAGCTACAAGTCAAGTTATTTTCACAACTTTTGTGGGAAGGTGCCCCATACAGGACACCAAAACATGCCCAAGAAGCAAATCCCACTGGAATGCCTGGGACAAAATACATTCTATCAAGTAAGAGACTGAGCTATGTGCTCTGATCACAACCTGCTTCACAAAGACAGATGAGTACCCAGGTGCCCGTGATCACAAAAGGGAAAGCTGAAGCACACAGAGGTGAAGGATTTGCCAGAAGAGATGGAGCAGGGAGGAACCTGCGTAGGGTTGCTCCTGTGTCATCTGTGCTGAGCTGCAATAGCACTGTCACATACTTCCAAGTTCTCTGTATCAGAAAGTTGAATGGCAAGATAATGACACAAGACACTTGCAAAATATTTATCAGAAAAACACACCTTGTCTGCACTCTGTACAGATTGTACAAGCGTGTACAACCCACGCCAGAACCCTGGGAATGAATGATGCTGGTAGGTTGATCTCTCATGCACCAATGCAAGACTGAAATAATTTCTTTTTAATCACATTAAAACAGGCTATTGAACTAGACTGGTGAACCTGACTCATACCTGCACAAGTCTGCATGACCCAACACAGCACACATAGCAGTGCAGACACAAGCACAACCAGAGCACTCAAAAGCCTTCAAGTCCTTCACAGCTTGAGCAGCTCTGGAGGCAGAGCAGGACCACACCGAGCCCAGACCCAGGACTCACTTACAGAAGGGCATGGGGGACCTGCAACCTTCTACTAAGTTCTCTCCAAGCCACAACTAAACTTTCCAGCCAAACTGATGGACCAGTATGGAAAGTTTAAAAAGGCAACAGCAAAAACATTTGCCTTTAGAGACACCCAGGTAAAATTTGGGTGGCAATTTTCCCTTGGATAGATATTTCTGACCATCCTGGACTCTCAGTGGGGCAGCTGCTCCAGCCAGGTTTTGATGATTCTTTCCCCACCCAAGGATAGTTTCTGTTTTATTTTCCAGTGGAAATGTACATAATTAAGAAGTAGATGAGCCCCTTACAATCCTTAAGTGAAACACAGGAAGATACTTAGATCTTATTTCTCCCTCTGCCTCTGTACTTCTAGTCAGTATGCCTAGGTATCAAATTCAGACACATGCACAGCATTTTAATTCATTATTTATCCATATTGTCTCAAATTCTATCCCTTTAATAATAATAAAAAAACTATAGTGGGAGTTTGCATAGCTGGAAGCAGCATGAGGAAGCTCAAACTGGACAGCGATTTCTTACCACAGGGG